GTTTAAGGGGAAACATTTAAATGTCTTGGAATGGCCTAGTCAAAGCCCAGACCTCAATCCAATTGAGAATCTGTGGTATGACTTAAAGATTGCTGTACACCAGCAGAACCCATCCAACTTGAAGGAGCTGGAGCAGTTTTGCCTTGAAGAATGGGCAAAAATCCCAGTGGCTAGATGTGCCAAGCTTATAGAGACATACCCCAAGAGACTTGCAGCTGTAATTGCTGCAAAAGGTGGCTCTACAAAGTATTGACTTTGGCTGGGTGAATAGTTATGCATGCTCAAGTTTTCTGTTTCTTTGTCTTATTTCACAAGAAAAAAAATATGTTGCATCTTCAAAGTGGTAGGCATGTTGTGTAAATCAAATGATACAAACCCCCCAAAAATCCATTTAAATTCCAGGTGGTAAGGCAACAAAATAGGAAAAATGCCAAGGGGGTGAATACTTTCGCAAGCCACTGTTAATGCATCATAATGCAGAAACCTCAATGGCCCAACTTGACCACCTCCCTCAGATGATCAGTCAATCCATAAACTTTCTAATGACTGTCCATCTCACGATTTTGTGATGTTGTTTTTCTAAATCACATATTTTCTTTGTGCTCCGAAGCGCTTTGAGATTCTTTGAAAAGCACTATATAAATTGAATAAATTATTATTCTCATTAACTCTCTAAATATATGGCTCTGCAACAACCTTGTAATATCACTGTGACATCATCTCAGTAAAAAAAAAAAAGTACAACCTTGTGTTTCGACTTTGCTTTACATTTTGTAAGTATTTTTTATATTGAATCAATTGTTATGTCATTTCTTCCATACAAACTTTTTGTTTTAATAATGAACAATTAATATAGCTAATTGATACCATCAGAATCCACCACGGAGTTGCAAGATTGAAGCTGGCAAGTCATTTGTTTGTTTGGCTAGCTAGCTAATGTTAGCTGGCTAGCTGATAATTGTTTCGATTCGAATGCCAGCCAGTGTTACGGAGGTTGAGGATGGAGAGAAGCCCGAAAGCAAGACGGCACAGCAGAGGTATGCAGTGATGAGGATCGTATGGAGGACTAACTTGCAAGGCTACTTATTGAAATGTGGTGTGCTTTCTGGCACCACGTGACTGCCGTAGCTTCACCCAAGTGGGTGCTTCATTTCGGTACTAGTGAAGGAGTAGCTAACTAGCTACACTTATACGGAGTCCATGAACTGGAGTGGCTGAGCTCAAACTTAATCTGAGTCCTACCATGGAGAAGCCACACAGACAGCAGGGATGGCGAGACACCTTGATGACGCCGTGCTGCCTGCCGGCCCCCCGGACTTGCTTCAGAGACCATCTTTGTTTGCTCGCCCCCTTTGACCACCTTCCTCCAATGAACATTCAAGCCATGAACTTTCCCAACCCTCTCATGACCTTCCATTTCATGAAAGAAGTTGTTGTTTCTCTCTACATTTCTTGTCTTTTTTTGTTGCTTTAAAGCTCTCTGAGATTCTTTGTGTGTTGAATAGCGCTTTAAAAGTTGAATCAATTATTATTATTTTTATTGTGTGCGTGCGTGTGAGAGAGACAGCAAGAGAGAGATTGAGACGGAGAGGGAGAAGGAGAGGGAGAAGGAGAGAAAGAAAGGGAGAGGAAGTGAGAGACAGAATGAGGGGAGGAGCAGAGCAGCCCGGCTTGGCCAGAGGGCTAAAAGGGGGTCTGGTGTCTGACAAGCGCTGGAATATTAAATAATACCCTGAGCATCCCACACACAGATGTTCACAATCACGGCTCCAGAGAATGAATTTTAGTAATATGGCAGCCGTGCTGAGAGGGAGGATGAGGATGCTGCTGGGATCGAGCGAGGGGTGATTTTCTTGCCAGGCCAATTTAGTTATTAGTTCTGGAGCATTTGTGAGCGGATATTAGCACTACTGGCGGACTTCGATGAAAGTTTCTAATATAGCCGGAATCAGGTTTATTTCTGAGAGACTGATGACACCACTCCATGAGCAATGCAGTAGGTTCAAAGGTAACGTAAAGGTCATGACCTCTAAAATTGTAGAAGCATAGCATGTTACATACATACATTTTTACATTTTAGTCATTTAGCAGACGCTCTTATCCAGAGCGATTTACAGTTAGTGAGTGCATACATTTTTTTTTCATTCTGGCCCCCCGTGGGAAACGAACCCACAACCCTGGTACTGCAAGCGCCATGCTCTACCAACTGAGCTACAGGGGACTACAATATGGCAGCCATGCACACTCCATCTCTCTAATCTCATCTCAACCCACTGGAAACAAACCATTGAGTTGAAGAGAATGGGCAGTGCCTCTTAGATCCTTCAAGCAACATCCGTAAGAGCAACAGGAGATCTGATCACTCTGAGAAATAGGAGTGAGTAGGACGTTGTTTATATAAGAGCCTTCCTTCCTCGTGGCCATTAGGCTAAAAGCACTTTACATGTACCATCTAGAGAATCCCCAAATAGCACTTCTACTTTTCTCTAAGATGTATGCTGGTATTCTTAGTCACTGAAGATCGACTGGGATTCAGCTGATTATAAACATGTCTTCCTCTGGAACAATTCCTTAGATACAGTGCATTCAGGAAAGTATTCAGACCCCTTGACTTTTTCCACATTTTGTTATGTTACAGGCATATTCTAAAATAGATTAAATTGTTAGTTTTTTCTCATTAATCTATACACAATACCCCATAATGACAAAGCAAAAACTGGTTTTTAGAAATTTGTGCAAATGTATTTAAAATAACAAACGGTAATATCACATTTACATAAGTATTGAGACTCTTTACTCAGTACTTTGTTGAAGCACCTTTGACAGCAATTACAGCCTTGAGTCTTCTTCGGTATGATGCTACAAGCTTGGTACACCTGTATCTGGGGAGTTTCTCCCATTCTTCTCTGCAGAACCTCTCAAGCTCTGTCAGGTTAGATGGGGAGCATCACTGCACAGCTATTTTCAGGTCTCTCCTGAGATTTTCGATTGGGTTCAAGTCCGGGCTCTGGCTGGGTCACTTAAGGACATTCAGTCCCGAAGCCACTCCTGCGTTGTCTTGGCTGTGTGCTTAGGGTTGTCCATTGTCCTGTTGGAAGGTGAACCTTCGCCCCAGTCTGAGATCCTGAGCGCTCTTGAGCAGGCTTTCATCAAGGATCTCTCTGTACTTTGCTCTGTTCATCTTTCCCTCGATCCTGACTAGTCTCCCAGTCCCTACCGCTGAAAAACCTCCCCACAGCATGATGCTGCCACCACCATGCTTCACCGTAGGTATGGTGCCAGGTTTCCCCCAGACATGATGCTTGGCATTCAGGCCAAAGAGTTGAATCTTGGTTTCATCAGACCAGAGAATCTTGTTTCTCATGGTCTGAGATTCCTTTAGGTGCCTTTTGGCAAACTCCAAGCGGGATGTCATGTGCCTTTTACTGAGGAGTGGCTTCCGTCTGGCCACTCTACCATAAAGGCCTGATTGGTGAAATGCTGCAGAGATGGTTGGCCACCTCCCTGACCATGGCCCTTCTCCCCCGATTGCTCAGTTTGGCCGGGCGGCCAGCTCTAAGAAGAGTCTTGGTGGTTCCAAACTTCTTCCATTTAAGAATGATGGAGGAAACTGTGTTCTTGGGGATCTTCAAAGCTGCAGAAATGTTTTGGTAACCTTCCCCAGATCTGTGCCTCGACACAATCCTGTCTCGGAGCTCTACGGACAATTCCTTCGACATCATGGCTTGGTTTTTGCTCTGACATGCACTGTCAACTGTGGGACCTTATATAGACAGGTGTGTGCCTTTCCAAATCATGTCCAATCAATTGAATTTACCACAGGTGGACTCCAATCAAGTTGTAGAGACATCCCAAGGATGATCAATGGAAACAGGATGCACCTGAGCTCAATTTCGAGTCTCATAGCAAATGGTCTGTATCTTTATGTAAATAAGGTATTTCTGTTTTTTATTTTTAATACATTTGCAAACATTTCTTTAAAACCTGTTTTCGCTTTGTCGTTATGGGGTATTGTGTGTAGATTGATGAGGATATAAAAAATAAAATAATCCATTTTAGAATAAGGCTGTAACGTAACAAAATGTGGAAAAAGTCAAGGGGTCTGAATACTTTCCGAATGCACTGTATGTAGCTAGTAGGCACAATGCACACAATTAGCTTTGTTGTTCATATGTTTTCATTTGCTCTACCACTACCTCTTTTCTTAGGGTGTAATAATTCAATAATATATACTTTGGATAACACCTCTTGAAGACCACCCCCCTAAAAAAGATTGCCATACAAACATATGATAAAATGTATATTGTATAAATCTCTTTAAGGATGTCTTTATCAAATAGTTGTATTTGATGGGGGTTGACCCCTTCTTAAAGACCATCTCCCACCAAAACATTAGATTTACCAACATAAACCAACATATCTACAGAGATCCATGGGGCCTGGGGTCCTCCTGTGCACAGCAGCATCTCCCAGACAATAAAGTCAAGGTCAAGGAGCACATTCCTGTTGTGATTTATCTGAAGGAGTTAAGCCAAGGGGATTGCCTGTACTCTAAGTAATAAATAATTGATGAAGGCCCATCGTTTGAAGCCAAATGAAGGATCTGCGTCTCTTAATTCATTTCAGTTTTTGAGAAATTCTTGAACGGGACCCAAAGAGGGATTAGCGTCAAGGTAAGCAACACATTCTTTATTGAAAAACAATACCCATATTTCATGACAAACACACAATGCACGCACGTGCGCACACACACAGCTTCACGCACGCATACAGCTTCACGCACGCAAACACACACACACACTGGCTCAAGCATGGCACAAAACATAGACACCCTGGTCCAAGACGGTCAGTAGAGAGACATACTCTGAATCTGATCCCAGGTCTGTTTCCAACTTTACAGACTGCAGTTTGTCTGCACTGGTCCCACAGTTTCTGTTGGGTTCTGGTCCATCTGACATGGGTCTGGGTTAGGTATAGGCCAAGTCTGGTTCAGGTCTGGGTCAGTACGGTGAGAACAGAACTGATGTATGTGCCGTACGGAGAGGTCCTGGGGCAGGATGTAATAGGGGCTGGGGGAGGGGCTGAGCTTGAAAGAGGGCGGCGCCATGTGTAGGGGCAGGGCGCAAATGGAACGGGGACAGGGTTGCCATGGCAGCAGCAGCAGCGAGGGAGAGATGGCGCTGTAAGAGGCACGAGACGAGAGGCTTCGCCAAGTCCTGCTCCTTCCTCAGAATGATCCCAACCTGGAAACCACACACAGCGTGATCAAAACCATTTTACAATTAAATCACAACATGATCACAACCAGTCTACAATTAAATCACAACGTGATCGCAACCATAACGCTATCACACCTGTTCCACAATCTACAACACTTTGCAAAACAACTCCAATCCAATTATACCAGATGTAAACCACAAACAGTCCACAACAAAACCTCCAGTATAGTACTGCCAAAATACAATAATGTGATACTCACTGTCTGTACATTCTGGTTGCGTTGAGGCGGCAGACCATACGGGCTAAACTTGGGCTTAGCTGGCTTCCCTGCTGCACGGTCTTTATGCCTTCTACTGCTGATGTGCTGAGGAGATAGAGAGAGAGGGGAGGGGGGGGGGGAGAGCGAGAGAGAGAGAGAGAGAGAGAGAGAAAGATGAGGGAGAAGGAGATGTCTTAGCCACATGGGTCAGTCTAGCTCATAGACTCATCAGGCCACAGAAAATGAAAGGAAACACTCAACCTAATTAAAATCCCTATTTTTCCTCTCATCTCTGGAACGCAGATTTGTTCTTGGCCTTATAAATGTATACATATTCATAAAAGGGCGGATTTCAGTTTAAAAACAGTAAATAACTAACCTGTTTGAGTTGTGTCTCGGAGTTGACGTGCACATCGCAGATCTCACAGTGGAAAGTTCTGTTCTGGAGCCCAGTCGACACCTCAGTGGGAGGGGCCAGCTTGGCTTTGACCCCTGACCTGGGGAATGACTTTATGGCTCCATCGCCGCTCCTGGCCTCCAGCATTGTCTTGTGTTTCGTGCCTGACAGGGTGAAAGGTCAGATGGGTCAAAGGTTAGAAGCAGAGACACCAACTAAGTACAGTACGTTAACAAAGTGGGACATGTGGTTACTACATAAAGGTGCATCTCAGTGTAAATGGAGAGGATGAGAGAGAGAGAGAGAAGAGAGAGAGAGAGAGAGAGAGAGAGAGAGAGAGAGAGAGAGAGAGAGAGAGAGAGAGAGAGGCCCTGTCCTAACATACACTTTACCTGTCAGGTCAAGATGGCAGCAATGGCCCTTTGGGGATAGGGAGTGAGTGATCAATTGGTGTGGTATTGACCCGATGAGAGCAATGATTAAGAAGACGGACTTGTTGCAACATGATGATGACACACACCTGTACACTCACACACACACACACACGCACAGGTCAGTGAAGCTTCATTCTCACCGCTGTTGTGAGCCTGTAGCTGGGATGCAGAGTTCACCACCACCTTGCAGAGAGAACAGTAGAGCAGTCTCTTAGCCTTCTCTTCCTCTGACTCTACAACCTGCTCCACCTCTCCCTCCATCTCCTTCTCCTTCTCCACCATGGGACAGGGTGACAGAGAGGGGTCAGAGGGTATTTCCATGGATACAGCTGGGCTGCAGGTCGATGGAACCACCCCGGAGGCAGAGGGTGGTGACAACACAGCTCTGGCTGTGACATCTACACAGAAGAATAGAATAGAATAGAATAGAGCATTGTGATAATGGTTTATCCCTTCATTTTCCGCCATCGTAGAATGAAACCGAATTTGAGTGTGGTGAATGGTGAATTAGTGGGGAGAGTGTTTGTGTGTATGATAGTGGGGAATTAGCGGGGAGAGTGTGTGTGTGTGTGTGATAGTGGGGAATTAGTGGGGAGAGTGTTTGTGTGGTAGTGGTGGTGAGAGAGAGAGGAGACATAAGTTAACCCTGATGCTTTCTTCTCTCCTACATCAATCTCTATCAGAGTCTCTAATGCTGATTACCACTGCAGGGGCTGCTTCCCAAGCGGCACCCTATTCCCATAGGGCTCTGGTCAAAAGTAGTGCACTATGTAGGGAAAAGGGTGCCATTTGGGAAGCATACCAAGTCTCTCAACTCTTACCATAACTCACTGAGACAGATAAAAGCACACCAGCCACAGTGTTTATGAGATTCATTAGCTATAATCTTGGCAATAATCAAAGATTTCCTATGGGTAAATCCATTTGAATTCAATCACTTTTTGACAGCAACCCTTTTGATTTGAACAAAACCTTCCTTACATACAGTATTTGCCCATTATTGACGTGGTCAGAAAGTGACTTCTTGGACCTGAATGCCAAAACATTCAAGAGATAAAAGTGCTCAAAGTTGACCTTTTTTGCATACCCCACCATACCATGAGACATCCAAGTCTTCATCACCGGAAAAGATAAACGGTTGAGATTGATATAATTAAAAACTTTACAAACAGGGTTGTCAAACTATTTTATAATTTATTGAATAAAATGTTTGTTTTTTATAGCAGTTATGTCATTCGTCAATTATCTAAAAACATGTCCGATTTTGTTCAGAATCGCACATGTTGTAGTTTAGACCCTATTTTACATCATCTGAGGTGTTTGTGTTGTGCCTGCCATCGGTTGAGACAACATGCTCTTGAATACAGTGTGGGTGTCCTGTTTGGGCTGTTAAATGTACTAACATGACAATCAAATTGAAATTTCTACTTTCAAATGGTACCACAAAGCTGGTTGGACGTCCACACATCAGAGAATGTTGAGTTGAATGGGAAGATCTGTTGTTTTAAATTATACTGTCAATCCTCCATAGGAGATTTACAGATGTAGGATCTTAATCTGATCACTCTTTTGTTGCTGAGAATCTTCCTGTACAGCAGGAAATGCAAACTTGTAGTGTATTTGAGTTTTGAAAAGGCTTCTAAAGTTAAAGTTAAAAATGTCAATTCAATTTCAATGGTGTACCAGCTAAATTGCAATGGTCTGAAGGGATAGGTCCATTCTATGAATTCTATTTCTATGATTGAAATGACACCCACCCTGTATTCAAGACCATGTTGTGTCTCAACCTAAAATAGGTTCTATGTTACAACATATGCGAATATGAAAATTCAGAGTTTTTAGATCATTGACGTTAAAGGTAAAACCTTTTTTTTTCAAGAAATGTTTTAATCGTTTGTAAGCTTTCAAATGATATTAAACTCAACTGTTTATCTTTTCCAGTGATGTCTCATTGTATGGTGGGGAATGCAAAATGGGTCAACTTTGAGCACCTGTTTTGGCATTCAGGTCCAAAAAGTCACTTTTGACCACTTCTTCCATGGGCTTAATTCAAATGGATTTACCCCTATGGGAATCTGCTTCAATTAGAGGCTTTGGATTGAAATGATTATGTTCCATTATCTGCAGTGAGACGGACCGGGAGTAGGGAATTTGGGAATCATGCCTTGGTAATGGTGATTAGGCCTGTAAGGGTTTGTTTGTTTGTTTTCATTGACTGTCTCTCTAAAATGAAGATAAGGCTGTTTGACAAAGTCATCATCACAAAGCTCCCCTGTTTCTTCCACACACAGAAAAACTCACTCTGTGCTATCGCATGAACTCAAAATGGTCTCTCACTCTTTCGCTATCGCATGAAATCAAAATGGCCTCTCACTCTGTGCTATCGCATGAAATCAAAATGGTCTCTCACTCTGTCGCTATCACATGAAATCAAAATGGTCTCTCACTCTATTGCTATCGCATGAAATCAAAATGGTCTCTCACACTATCGCATTAAATCAAAATGGTCTCTCACTCTGTCGCTATCGCATGAAATCAAAATGGTCTCTCACTCTGTCACTATCGCATGAAATCAAAATGGTCTCTCACTCTATCGCTATTGCATGAAATCAAAATGGTCTCTCACTCTATCGCATGAAATCAAAATGGTTTCTCACTCTATCGCATGAAATCAAAATGGTCTCTCACTCTGTCGCTATCGCATGAAATCAAAATGGTCTCTCACTAAATCGCATTTTTATCAAACAAATTGTCTCCCACTCTCTAAAACACTCATGCACACCAACAAATATTAAAACACCTATGCATATACACCAGTGGCGGCTGCTGAGGGGAGGACGGCTCATAATAATTGCTGGAACGGAGCAAAGGGAATGGCATCAAACACCTGGAAACCATGTGTTTGATGTATTTGATACCATTCCACTGATTCCGCTCCAGCCATTACCACAAGCCCATCCACCCCAATTAAGGTGCTACCAACCTCCTGTGATATGAAGACACATACTCACAGATCTGCATACATTAACAAACAACGCAAACACACGCACACACCCAAGCACATGCACTCACGCATGCATGCACAAACACACACAAACACATGCACATGCACACATGCACACACGCACGCACACATGCACACACGCACGTACGCACGTACACACAAGGGGAGAACGACTGCCCCCTCTCATTGAAGCCACGGGAGTTCAATGCCGACCATGGTACTGCATGCATTGTTACCAGAAAAAAGGATCCCCCATTATAGTGAATGGAAAATGGCAATCTTTGTGTAAAAAATGTATAATAAGACAATCATGGTGCCAATTATTGCTTCTAATACACCAAATGTATGTCCTTGAACCGATTATTTTAAAATCGCACACAGAAGAAGTTTAGTTGCTAATGGCAGCCTGCAGTACCTCGGCCGGCCTTCAACTTGATTACTCAATGAGAGGGGGCAGCACTGAGCTAGCCTGCAATGTCACTTCCTGGAGTAGCTCAAACTGTGCATGTTATGTCTCCATGAGATGCCATCTTAACCGACTTCACTTGGCTTTAATGTGCTATTGAGTCTTCACATAGGAATGAATGGTGTCATGTGATCGATGGCTTTGTGCATTCATATATACAGTAATTGACACACACACACACACACTAACCTGTTGAACTGGGGTCTGAGCTGGGCGGCACAGGGCAGGGTGATGCGCTCTTGGTTGTGGTTTCCTTGGTGACTGTGTCAAGGGCTCTGGTCTTGCAGTCCGGTGGGTCGAAGGCTTTGAGCCTCTTAAAGTGTTTGGTACCATTGTAATGGGATGAGGCCTGGCTCTACACAGAGAGAGACAATAGAACCAGAACCACTGTAATGGGATGAGGCCTGGCTCTACACAGAGAGAGACAATAGAACCAGAACCACTGTAATGGGATGAGGCCTGGCTCTACACAGAGAGAGACAATAGAACCAGAACCACTGTAATGGGATGAGGCCTGGCTCTACACAGAGAGAGACAATAGAACCAGAACCACTGTAATGGGATGAGGCCTGGATCTACACAGAGAGAGACAATAGAACCAGAACCACTGAGTCACACAAGAGACAACAACTCCAATGACCATGCAGTAGTATGTACTCAAGTCATCAAGTCATATAGCCACAGGGTCAAGCCAGCGATCTAACATTAGTACAGTTTCATCAGTTAGCAGATGCTCTTATCCAGAGCGATTTATAAACTCTCTAAGAGATTTTCATCTCATACATTTCATCCAATATCAAACCTGTGCCATCCGCAAATCTCTCCCACGGTTTACATCCACTCAGCACTTAGTATATATCTACTGGTTAACACTACACAACACTTACTATATACAGTGCCTTCGGAAAGTATTCAGACAGCTTGACTTTCCACATTTTGTTACATTACAGCCTTATTCTAAAATGGATTAAATATTTATTTTTTTCAGCGATCTACACACAATACCCCAAAGTGAAAACAGGTTTTAGAAATGTTTGTACATTTATATTAAAAAAAAAACATAAATACCTTATTTACATAGGTATTACACACATAGGTCTGTGCGGTGCGGCAGGTAACTTAGTGGTTAAGAGCGTTGTGCCAGTAATCGAAAGGTCGCTGGTTCTAATCCCCGAGCCGACTAGGTGAAAAATCTGTCGATGTGCCCTTGAGCAAGGCACTTAACCCTAATTGCTCCTGTAAGTCGCTCTGGATAAGAGCGTCTGCTAAATAACTAAAATGTAAATGTAGAATGTATTCAGACCCTTTGCTATGAGACTCGAAATTGAGCTCAGGTGCATCCTGTTTACATTGATCATCCTTGAGATGTTTCTACAACTTGATTGGAGTCCACCTGTGGTAAATTCAATTGATTGGACATGATTTGGAAAGGCTCACACCTGTCTATATAAGGTCCCACAGTTGACAGTGCATGTCAGAGCAAAAACCAAGCCATGAGGTCGAAGGAATTGTCCGTAGAGCTCCTAGACAAGACAGTGGCCTCTGTCATTCTTAAATGGGAGAAGTTTGGAACCACCAAGACTCTTCCTAGAGCTGGCCGCCCTGCCAAACTGAGCAATCGGGGAAGAAGGGCCTTGGTCAGGGAGGTGGCCAAGAACCCGATGGTCACTCTGACAGAGCTCTTGAGTTCCCCTGTGGAGATGGGAGAACCTTCCAGAAGGATAACCATCTCTACAGCACTCCACCAATCAGGCCTTTATGTAAGAGTGGCCAGACGGAAGTCACTCCTCAGTAAAAGGCACATGACAGCCCGCTTGGAGTTTCCCAAAAGGTACCTAAAGACTCTCAGACCATGAGAAACAAGATTCTCTGGTCTGATGAAACCAGGATTGACTCTCCGGCCTGAATGCCAAGCGTCACGTCTGGAGGAAACCTGGCACCATCCCTACGGTGAAGCATGATGGTGGCAGCATCATGCTGTGGGGATGTTTTTCAGCGGCAGGGACTGGGAGACTAGTCAAGATCGAGGCAAAGATGAGTGGAGCAAAGTACAGAGAGATCCTTGATGAAAACCTGCTCAAGACCTCAGACTGAGGCGAAGGTTCACCTTCCAACAGGACAACGACCCTAAGCACACAGCCAAGATAACGCAGGAGTGGCTTCGGGACAAGACTCTGAATGTCCTTTTGCTTTTACTTTGTCATTATGGGGTTTTGTGTGTAGATTGATGAGGAATAAAAACAATTTAAGCTATTTTAGAATAAGGCTGTAATGTAACAACATGTGGAAAAAGTAAAGGGGTCTGAATACTTTCTGAATGCGCTGTATATCTACTGGTTAAGGTTAAACTCTGCAGCATCCCTGGTACTGCCCTGCATGAGGTCAAACTCTGCAGCATCCCTGGTACTGACCTGTATGAGGTCAAACTCTGCCTACCTCTGAGTTGAACCTCAGTCGGCACACGGCACACGATGAGCTGGGTTTCCTCATAAGAGGCGTGGTTAGTCCAAATCCTGGACCAATCTGGGTTTTGTGAACGTGGTTAATCTGCAACAACAAGAGTGAAAAGGTGGTGAATTACCGTGGTATGGCTAGGGCAGAGGCTTAGGAGCGAGGGTTGAGCAAGAGGTCAATGTTAAAGAGTACCTCAAATGCTCTCGGACTAGGGCTGTGGCGGTCATGACATTTTGTCAGCTGGTGATTGTCAAGCAAATAACAGCCAGTCTCACGGTAATTTACTGTTAATTAACATAAACACATTTGGCACATATCCTGGCTTCCATGCATAGCCTACAAGCCACTGATGCAGACCATTAGAACACAGTGGCGGCTCCTGAAAAAATTCTCAGGAGGGGCAATTTTTCTGATGATTTAGGTGACCTACACACATTTTAAAAAAGATATGTCCAGCAACAACATGAAGACAGGGGCAGCATATAAGTCAATACCAGAAGCATTTATTGACTGATCTGGGGAGATGGATTCCAGTTTCTGTGACAGATTATAAATAATCTCTGATGCCTTTGTTATATTAGCTTTTGGTTGAATGTACTGTCGTAGTAAATATATAATGTTATAGCTTGGTCTGACTAAAATCTTGTGCATGACCCATTTTGTGTTGGGCGTTTGTTTTCAATCAATGCTGTTCCTATCCTATAACAATGGACAAAAGAGTCCTATCTTGTCAGCCTTGTCAGCAGGTGGCCAAGGACAACACCCACGCCATAGGTCTCTCAGTTCTTCCAACTCACGAGTTCTTGCTCTGAGGACACACACACACACACACACACACACACACACACACACACACACACACACACATCATCACTGATAACACACACACACACACACATCATCACTGTTAAACACACACACACACACACACAAAAATCCCCTCTCTTTAGGCTGAACATTTGAAGACAGAGAACCCGACTCAGAGCCAATGCAACAGTGGAGGGGACCTCGCCCAACTCATCAGGACCAATCAGAAGATCAGAACTACTAGATTCAACCTACATCATTTATTGTATAAAATGTCTGCACACAATGTTTTCGGGGCTCTCTTCAGATAGCTCCCTAAGAGTTTGACGAACGAGTCCGTGCACGCGATTCCAGATATCTTTACCTCTGAATAAACTGCCTTTATTATACCATATCCACCCTGTCCAAAGTCTCTACTTGGTCTCAGTTCTCCAGTAAACTTGTGATTATCAACAGTACACAACGGTAACAAACAATTGGGGGAACTCACGGGGCAGATAGTAAGGTCGCAGTGACACAGAAAGCAGTTCAATGTCGGGGGTACAGAGTCGCTCTCTTACCAGGATCGATTTTCCCTGTGACTGTGTCAGATCGCGGTCCGCTCTGACCAGGGTGAAGCCGGCCGGCTCCACTTCTCTGTCCGGGACTCTGTCATCCAGCCAAGTCTCCCAGCTGTATTGGATTCCGCTGCCAGCAGCGTTTTCATTATTTAGTCCGTTCGTAGCGGGTATGTACACGATCAACAAGATCAGTCCAAAACCCACCACTGGAAATCCATGGTTGGCAGAATGTTTGTAAACTAAGTGTTAAAAAACATAAAATAACGCCACTAAGTGTACAAATTAAAAACATAAGATAACGCCACACTGCAGGTCGCAACAGAGACGCTGCTAGCCGCTATTTTCTTAGTTACGTTCATGGTTACGTCACGTATGACGAAAGCGCGTAAGTGCAAGCCCACAGACACCCATAGAGATTGTATTGAAAGCTTTGAAATTTGAAAAAAATAGATTTTACATGGGAGTCTATGACAGACTTCTGGGCGATTTTCAACATGACTGAAATCGCCCCAAAAACGGGCGGGGCCATTTGAAGCACGACTTTAGCCTGATTTGACATTTAGTGGCAGTCAGATCAGATTAGAACACTGATAACTACTGTTGCCGTGATATAATTGATTAGAAAAAAAATCCCTTCCTTTTCCCGTTTGGCAGTGCGTCGCCCATATCGCCCTATTGAACACACCGCCCCTGTTAGAACATCTACATTAAAAAAAGTATAATACATTAATTTAATATAGCCTACACCATCACAATAAATCCATTATTTATTTTAGACAGGTCTAAAGAAACATGATATGAAGAAAATGTAGTCTATTTCAGAAGAACAGAATAGCATACTCTGAGTTGTCCTTATGTTAGGTCCTGATCTGGCTATGCCATATGGATGTGGGCTACATTAGTTCATTTAGCAGACAAGATTTGCTTAGAATTCCGCGGCATTATTTTATATTATTTTATAGTATGAAGAATACAATTGAACAAAGCTGAATAAAATAGAAATGATATTTTCTCCAAACGATTTGAGGGAGTGCGCACGCGGCTATTCTGTGTTGAGGGGTTAACAAAGTAACAGGTCCTCCTATATGCATAATTTAGAGTTTTTTATGCAACTTAAGTTGTGATACAAACGTTGGGCTATATGTTTTGATTTTTAATACATTCTAAGGCAGCATGATGCGACTCTAATGATGATTTGAAAAAAGTTGCAGGAAAGGCATGAGCACTGCTTTGTTTTTTGTGCAGGCTGCACACACTTTATCAGTCTCTCATTCACAATTTCACCAGCACTTGATAATGCCTCAAATTTCCCGGCGGCATCCCATTTGTGTGGCCGTAATGCCCCCTAAAAAAATCCATGCCTTTTGAGGCCAGTGGCCGTTGTGCCCTTGGGCTGAATATAATAATTATAAATCCCTTGTCCCGGCTGCGTGCTCCGAAGCACCTCTCATGCACATGGCTCTCTCAGATATCTCAGTTCTTATTAACCAATGCCCATCATGTGATCGGGCCCTTCTCACAGGCTACAAGTGAAGATACACACAGCGGGGATGCAATTGTGCACGTCCTAATCGAATTCCGAGGCGCATACTGAAGATGTTGGAAGAATTGTCCACATTTACTGTTTGTCAGCCAACAAGATGAGTAAGCCTAACGAACAGCAAAAGCACTAGCCCATGTCAATCTACTTTCCCGCATGGTGTAAAAGTTGAACTATTGTATTCTGTGAGAAATAAATATTCCAAACAAAGTCTGGGACATTTGTGGGATGCGATAGATCCCAAATTAATACAACCACTAGCATTAAAAAACCTTATAAAAGCAATGAGGCTGATGCAACAGATCAGAACATTTAGCTTAAAACCTGTCTATATAAGGTCTATATAAGGTCCCACAGTTGACAGTGCATGTCAGAGCAAAAACAAAGTCATGAGGTCGAAGGAATTGTCCGTAGAGCTCCGAGACAGGATTGTGTCGAGGCACAGATCTGGGGAAGGGTACCAAAAAAGGTCTGCAGCCTTGAAGGTCCCTAAGAACACAATGGCCTCCATCATTCTTAAATGGAAGTAGTTTGGAACCACCAAGACTCTTCCTAGAGCTGGCTGCCCGGCGGCCAATCTGAGCAATCGGTGGAGAAGGGCCTTGGTCAGGGAGGTGGCCAAGAACCCGATGGTCACTCTGACAGAGCTCTTGAGTTCCCCTGTGGAGATGGGAGAACCTTCCAGAAGGATAACCATCTCTACAGCACTCCACCAATCAGGCCTTTATGTAAGAGTGGCCAGACGGAAGTCACTCCTCAGTAAAAGGCACATGACAGCCCGCTTGGAGTTTCCCAAAAGGTACCTAAAGACTCTCAGACCATGAGAAACAAGATTCTCTGGTCTGATGAAACCAGGATTGACTCTCCGGCCTGAATGCCAAGCGTCACGTCTGGAGGAAACCTGGCACCATCCCTACGGTGAAGCATGATGGTGGCAGCATCATGCTGTGGGGATGTTTTTCAGCGGCAGGGACTGGGAGACTAGTCAAGATCGAGGCAAAGATGAGTGGAGCAAAGTACAGAGAGATCCTTGATGAAAACCTGCTCAAGACCTCAGACTGAGGCGAAGGTTCACCTTCCAACAGGACAACGACCCTAAGCACACAGCCAAGATAACGCAGGAGTGGCTTCGGGACAAGACTCTGAATGTCCTTTTGCTTTTACTTTGTCATTATGGGGTTTTGTGTGTAGATTGATGAGGAATAAAAACAATTTAAGCTATTTTAGAATAAGGCTGTAATGTAACAACATGTGGAAAAAGTAAAGGGGTCTGAATACTTTCTGAATGCGCTGTATATCTACTGGTTAAGGTTAAACTCTGCAGCATCCCTGGTACTGCCCTGCATGAGGTCAAACTCTGCAGCATCCCTGGTACTGACCTGTATGAGGTCAAACTCTGCCTACCTCTGAGTTGAACCTCAGTCGGCACACGGCACACGATGAGCTGGGTTTCCTCATAAGAGGCGTGGTTAGTCCAAATCCTGGACCAATCTGGGTTTTGTGAACGTGGTTAATCTGCAACAACAAGAGTGAAAAGGTGGTGAATTACCGTGGTATGGCTAGGGCAGAGGCTTAGGAGCGAGGGTTGAGCAAGAGGTCAATGTTAAAGAGTACCTCAAATGCTCTCGGACTAGGGCTGTGGCGGTCATGACATTTTGTCAGCTGGTGATTGTCAAGCAAATAACAGCCAGTCTCACGGTAATTTACTGTTAATTAACATAAACACATTTGGCACATATCCTGGCTTCCATGCATAGCCTACAAGCCACTGATGCAGACCATTAGAACACAGTGGCGGCTCCTGAAAAAATCCTCAGGAGGGGCAATTTTTCTGATGATTTAGGTGACCTACACACATTTTAAAAAAGATATGTCCAGCAACAACATGAAGACAGGGGCAGCATATAAGTCAATACCAGAAGCATTTATTGACTGATCTGGGGAGATGGATTCCAGTTTCTGTGACAGATTATAAATAATCTCTGATGCCTTTGTTATATTAGCTTTTGGTTGAATGTACTGTCGTAGTAAATATATAATGTTATAGCTTGGTCTGACTAAAATCTTGTGCATGACCCATTTTGTGTTGGGCGTTTGTTTTCAATCAATGCTGTTCCTATCCTATAACAATGGACAAAAGAGTCCTATCTTGTCAGCCTTGTCAGCAGGTGGCCAAGGACAACACCCACGCCATAGGTCTCTCAGTTCTTCCAACTCACGAGTTCTTGCTCTGAGGACACACACACACACACACACATCATCACTGATAACACACACACACACACACATCATCACTGTTAAACACACACACACACACACACAAAAATCCCCTCTCTTTAGGCTGAACATTTGAAGACAGAGAACCCGACTCAGAGCCAATGCAACAGTGGAGGGGACCTCGCCCAACTCATCAGGACCAATCAGAAGATCAGAACTACTAGATTCAACCTACATCATTTATTGTATAAAATGTCTGCACACAATGTTTTCGGGGCTCTCTTCAGATAGCTCCCTAAGAGTTTGACGAACGAGTCCGTGCACGCGATTCCAGATATCTTTACCTCTGAATAAACTGCCTTTATTATACCATATCCACCCTGTCCAAAGTCTCTACTTGGTCTCAGTTCTCCAGTAAACTTGTGATTATCAACAGTACACAACGGTAACAAACAATTGGGGGAACTCACGGGGCAGATAGTAAGGTCGCAGTGACACAGAAAGCAGTTCAATGTCGGGGGTACAGAGTCGCTCTCTTACCAGGATCGATTTTCCCTGTGACTGTGTCAGATCGCGGTCCGCTCTGACCAGGGTGAAGCCGGCCGGCTCCACTTCTCTGTCCGGGACTCTGTCATCCAGCCAAGTCTCCCAGCTGTATTGGATTCCGCTGCCAGCAGCGTTTTCATTATTTAGTCCGTTCGTAGCGGGTATGTACACGATCAACAAGATCAGTCCAAAACCCACCACTGGAAATCCATGGTTGGCAGAATGTTTGTAAACTAAGTGTTAAAAACATAAAATAACGCCACTAAGTGTACAAATTAAAAACATAAGATAACGCCACACTGCAGGTCGCAACAGAGACGCTGCTAGCCGCTATTTTCTTAGTTACGTTCATGGTTACGTCACGTATGACGAAAGCGCGTAAGTGCAAGCCCACAGACACCCATAGAGATTGTATTGAAAGCTTTGAAATTTGAAAAAAATAGATTTTACATGGGAGTCTATGACAGACTTCTGGGCGATTTTCAACATGACTGAAATCGCCCCAAAAACGGGCGGGGCCATTTGAAGCACGACTTTAGCCTGATTTGACATTTAGTGGCAGTCAGATCAGATTAGAACACTGATAACTACTGTTGCCGTGATATAATTGATTAGAAAAAAAATCCCTTCCTTTTCCCGTTTGGCAGTGCGTCGCCCATATCGCCCTATTGAACACACCGCCCCTGTTAGAACATCTACATTAAAAAAAGTATAATACATTAATTTAATATAGCCTACACCATCACAATAAATCCATTATTTATTTTAGACAGGTCTAAAGAAACATGATATGAAGAAAATGTAGTCTATTTCAGAAGAACAGAATAGCATACTCTGAGTTGTCCTTATGTTAGGTCCTGATCTGGCTATGCCATATGGATGTGGGCTACATTAGTTCATTTAGCAGACAAGATTTGCTTAGAATTCCGCGGCATTATTTTATATTATTTTATAGTATGAAGAATACAATTGAACAAAGCTGAATAAAATATAAATGATATTTTCTCCAAACGATTTGAGGGAGTGCGCACGCGGCTATTCTGTGTTGAGGGGTTAACAAAGTAACAGGTCCTCCTATATGCATAATTTAGAGTTTTTTATGCAACTTAAGTTGTGATACAAACGTTGGGCTATATGTTTTGATTTTTAATACATTCTAAGGCAGCATGATGCGACTCTAATGATGATTTGAAAAAAGTTGCAGGAAAGGCATGAGCACTGCTTTGTTTTTTGTGCAGGCTGCACACACTTTATCAGTCTCTCATTCACAATTTCACCAGCACTTGATAATGCCTCAAATTTCCCGGCGGCATCCCATTTGTGTGGCCGTAATGCCCCCTAAAAAAATCCATGCCTTTTGAGGCCAGTGGCCGTTGTGCCCTTGGGCTGAATATAATAATTATAAATCCCTTGTCCCGGCTGCGTGCTCCGAAGCACCTCTCATGCACATGGCTCTCTCAGATATCTCAGTTCTTATTAACCAATGCCCATCATGTGATCGGGCCCTTCTCACAGGCTACAAGTGAAGATACACACAGCGGGGATGCAATTGTGCACGTCCTAATCGAATTCCGAGGCGCATACTGAAGATGTTGGAAGAATTGTCCACATTTACTGTTTGTCAGCCAACAAGATGAGTAAGCCTAACGAACAGCAAAAGCACTAGCCCATGTCAATCTACTTTCCCGCATGGTGTAAAAGTTGAACTATTGTATTCTGTGAGAAATAAATATTCCAAACAAAGTCTGGGACATTTGTGGGATGCGATAGATCCCAAATTAATACAACCACTAGCATTAAAAAACCTTATAAAAGCAATGAGGCTGATGCAACAGATCAGAACATTTAGCTTAAAATGTTGATAAACTATTAGGCTATTTCTTCACATTATAACCGCAGCAATGTGCACATGGTAGTAGGCTATAAGCGCAAATGTTCCAAAATGCAATCAATTAGCGGGAAAACACCATTCTCAAAAGTGACCGTGTGACAGGTTAAAGGACATATTCATAGCCTGTTATACACTAAAAAGTATTAGTAAGTTCATGGTATGTAAGGATCTTAAAATATCTAAGGTTAAAAATATTATGCATTCAGTACTAGTTCATAGAGAAAATGCATAATTGTGTTAAAAGGTTAAAATCCGTCAAGTGTACAAAGGGTAAAAATTGTAAGAGGAATGTGTAAACGTTATATTGACTACTTTATTTTGTGGTGCCTAATTTAAGGGTAAACGTGTTAATCTGTGATCTACTAAATGCTCTTAATCTATGAGCCTGAGATCGATTGCTCTGGTCTCCACCCAACTTCCCGGGGAAATCGCGGTCTTTTTCCTCATTATACTACAGTTTTCAGTGAGGAAACATAACTGCATCACTCTCGTGATTATTTCTCCCCTTTTTCAGGGGCGTAACAACCGCAAATGCGATTATGCACGTAATGCTTTTATTATAAAGGTGCATTTTTATGGTGAAAATTATCTTCCCCAAACTTCAAACTCAAGTTCTGCGTGTGTTAGGCTCTACACCTGTTGTAAAGCGGATTAAAGTGCTTAATTTTAAGAAGTTATTTGGCCTGTTTAGTTGTGATATAAACCTTATCAAAGAATATAGGTGTATGGGCTAGGCTACATGAGGTGTGCGATTATGATTTGAAAAAGTCGCAAAAAAAAGGCATGTGCTGTTTCTTGCCTTACTGCACACAAGCTGGGCATCATTCACAAGTGATAATATATCATTCACAAGTGATAGGCTAAGATTGTCAACCATCACACTATTCTTGATTTAATCTTGTCTTTACAAATACTAAATAATATATGTGTGAAATTTGTTTTGATTTAGAAGGGACCATTATCATGCACCTGTCTCGAAACAGGGGCAGGGAAAAATAAATACATGTCATCTATGCACTTAAATAGCGAATGGAGGATACTTTTCCCGTGGTTCATTTTCATGCCAGCCAGGTAGGATATACTACTGTTGTAAAGAGAAGCAATGTGCTTAATATTAGGAAAGTTGAGAAATAAATATAGTAGGCCTAGCCTATTGAAAGCTGATGGGATCCTCCTCTTTTTAATAGAGGCCATAAAAACTCTGTTTTCTCATGCAATTACATAGCCTATAGAAATGTTGCTCAACATGAGCTCATGGGCTCTTATGAAGTTTTTGATTAGATTTTCAATGACATTTGCATTGATGTCAGAGTGATTAGAGGGACAATAGAGTGCTGAGTACCAGGCAGTTAGCAAGTTTGTTAGGCTACTAATGACCATCAGCAGCATCAGAGCTTGGAGAAGCCTAATTATTTGACTGCCGTCATGACTTGTGACCACCGGTGTGGCGGTAATACGGTCACCGTAACAGCCCTATCTCAGACTTAAACAGGCTTAGAGTAATGGTCCTTCCTTTACTTATAACAGATGGTGACCAATGCAGGCCTCCCTTCCCAAACCAAACCAGAGGGAAACTGTGGTATGGATAGGGTTAAGACTAGGGTTAAGCAACAGGTCAATGTTGAGCAAGAAGACCTGAAATGGTCATCTGTAGCTCAGTTGGTAGAGAATTGTGCTTGCAATGCCAGGATAGGAAGCTCGATTCCAGGGACCACCTGTATGTAAAATGTATCCACACGTGACTAAGTCGCTTTGGATAAAAGCGTCTGCTAAATTGCATATATTATTATTATATTATTATATA